GTGTGTTATTCCCACATATTCTGACGTCACTCGGATTGCAAACAAAAGATCACCTGATTGTAACTGTCAAATTAGTCTGTATTTGTTTTGATTTGATTGTTATTGTTTTTATAATAACTAGGGTGGTCTGCCGTTACACTTTAGACGCATAAATGAGCGAAGCATCTAGACGCAACTTCCGCATTCTCAACACGGGTCCGCTTGTCGAGTTTAATGTTTTTATCGGCCGTATATGTGTGCGCACTATGTGTTTATTATTCATCGTGTAAAACTGTTACTGACGACCTTCATATGAAGTAATTCATCCTTGTACTCTCCTGATGATGGCCTCTTAGCAGATTGAAACTAGTTGTGGAGACTACAATTGGATTGCATGAATAAGGTATTTAAACCACTATCATAGTTATTATTCGCAATCCGGAGGCTACCCACACCATTGGAGCGAAGCATTAAAGATTGTCAATGGCTAATGCAGCTAACAACCTACAATATGTTCCCTTTCAACAGTGTTCCGGTCGGCCACATTAGTCTCTGAATGTGATCCCTTTGACGAGACTGCGCAATCATAGGCACCGATGTTTCTTCAACTTGGTCTTCTTCGATTTCATCAGGACTTTCTTGGTTTTCACATACACACGGTACTCTCATGTGAACAAAATCAAAAAATGAATGGGTTATTTGCCTTCAGCCAAATAAGTGCTTGATGTAGTATTCACGTCGAACTTTGAAATCGATATGGCCAAAGACGCCTTGACGTTGGACAATGATAACTTTAAAGTTTTTGGGCAGTGTATAGGTAAGATAGATGCTATTTCATTAATATCTTGCTCAACATTAATGATGTTACCTTTGTAGTGAAACTGGCCACCCTGACCATTTGCTTGTACTTTGTAAATGCGCATATAGCGGGATGTACTCGTGCAATCAACATTTCTCAAAACAAATACAGCAAAACTGTTACTTCCATTGATAAACTGTTACATTCCAACTAACCTAGGATGAAAGTAAACATTGAAATGTAAACAAAACAGTTACAAACAATTAACATATCTTAATATATCTTATTTAAATGAAACGAGATAAACCCATATGTCATAAACCCAATATAATTTTTCTTTCAACTTACATTAAAATAACAAGCGAAATTGCGTGACCTATAAAATAAAATCCAGAAGGAAATTTTCAAATATTTTTTACATAAACATTGTGCTCAGTATTCTTTAGCTGTTGGCCAAATTTCATATCAATTGGTCTATCCATTACATTCTGATGCTCTTACAAAGAAGTTACAAAGTGAGGGAAAGTGAGCTTCGCTCAATAAAAACAATAACAACCAAATCAAAACAAATACATATACTAATTTGACAGTTACAATCAGGGGCCCATTTCATAATAAACTACAAGTTACAAGTTACAGCTTGTAACTTGTAATTTCCATAAGATTTGCATTGGGCGATCAGCTGATTTACTAATAATATTAGTTTGTAGTTTATTATGAAACTAGGGGAAACCCGTCGAAATCGACGGTTACTTTCAAGGCTTACAATAATTCATCTAACTGCGATGAATTGGGTGAAATATACATATTTTGAGCATTTAACATCTTTCAAAGAGTAAGTGTAAAAACAATAACAATATTGCGTTAGTTGCCAAATTTGGTTGTTCATTCAATGATTAAAATATTTTCTATCCTGTACGTCATCGGAGTTATTATTAGTATGTTATATGGTATTTCTTCCTTTGGTAGAACCTTTAAATAGTATTTAAATCGTATTGGTGGATCTTGTAGTTAAACACTTCCGCGACTTCACCAGTGTTTGAGAAAAAATATATGTTTGTTGAGAAGACACGTTCTAACTTCAAAGGGAGGTATATCCGTTACAGTGTAAGTTTGATTTTCCTTCGTCACGTCGCGTCAGTTCATATCGTACTTCTGTGCCAATGAATGAACCCTCTAGCATAGTTTTGGGAAATTGACTGTGAGGTTACTGATAAAGCTGGAATTCCTTGACATGGGGGATGTCAGTTAGTTGTCTCGGCCTTATCAATAACATAAAGTTGTCAATATAATCTCTCTACGGAATGTTAGGTGTAGTGGAATACATGAAGTACAGTTGGCTTTTATTCTTGAACTGTTAGGGGCCTCCTAGTTCATATGATCTTGGCGGCTTCATTGGCAATAAATAATGCAAATGACAGCAATTGAACATTTCCAAAAAGCAAAAATACTGTAAAATGGCTGTTACGTATATATTGACGTTTACATATTGTTAATCAACGTATATGATAAATACTTTAATCCTTTAATACGTTTTTTTTATGGCGACCATTCATAGTAGGTAAGCCAAGTATGAATGGAGATGAGTGTAGGATGAGTGGCGCGATCTTGAAGTCTTGTTAGTTACTAAGGCCGACATTCCTTAGATACAGCTGTTAATTAATAGCCCATACAGCGAATGGCAACCAAGGGATCTACAGTTTTATAGTTGAATTGGAACCCAATTTTTTTGCATTGTTATTTATGAATTGGTATAATTATCAGGATAGCACTGCGGGTTGTCGTAGTACTCACTCGTACGGACGTTAATCCACACCAGGGAGTATCGCATCCACAGTGCATTCCTATAAATATCCACAATTCGTGACCTCCTAGTAGCTGGATTACAGGACGACGCCACCCGTCCCAGTCAAAGGATTATGTGATCTAGTTTAAAAGGAATATGACCTTTCTGTCATGAGAGTAGCTGCTTAAATAGTATTTTCTCTTTGTACCATATTTTACAGCCAAAATGTCGTGTTATTTTCAATAATGTTACTAATTCAGTGCGCCAAAGTCCGTAATATAGGCAGGTGCAAATTATTTGTCAAGATAGGTACCATTTTAGGCAATGTTTCTAAGTTTGGATTTTATTAGACACAATAAGAGCAGATATTTCTACATAAATATTTGATATTTTGTAGAATAATATGATAAAATGTAGGCAAAAGTGGTGAAAAAGGCAATGGCAACCAACCCGTACAATAGATATAAGATAGTTCAATAAGAAATAATTTAAGAATTGCTGTGATAAAATGATTTTCCACTGATTTCGTAATGGAACGTTATATTGCAAAACATGGCATGATAAAGAAGAAAATCAATTTTAAAATCAGAAAATAACATTGCAAATACTTATTTGGTAGAATTCAACTCCCAATAAATATGTGTTGTTTGAAATACAATTTTAAAATGAACAGCTGTTTCATTAAAAAGTATTATTCTCATGGCCAAAATGTAAACAACTCTGTGGAGGGATCTTTAAAGGCTTCTGGGGCAGAGTCCTAAAGGATTTTGCTTAGTTTTTTTTTTGATAACTCATCTACAGACCAAGACCTTTCTTTGGACACCTCTACCAAGTTTCTACGCCCAACCGTTCTCTCAAATTAGTGGGGACAAAGTTTCCAATCAAATATTTAGATTCCCCCATGTTAATCTTATGGGAAAAACTCCAACTTTGATGGCCTGTGGGGCAAAGCCCGAGAATTTTTACTACATGAATTGGTGAAAGGGGGTGTCTACACAAAAAATATTTTATTTTGACTCGTCGTTTGTAAAAATCCGTCCATTATTAACGGAGGAGTAGTGTTTTCAAGAAATCGCCTTCACGTATTATATATAAGGATAGGCCCCAGGTGATCTTTTGTTTGCAATCCGAGTGACGTATGTTTTTTCACTTTTTTCCTTCCACCATGTTCTAGATTAAGATGGCATAGCAGAAGCAGAAGCAGACACCATCATCAGCTGTTCATCATCTTGCACTTGCGTTTGCGTATTCGTTCGATTTCGATTCGCGCTAGTAGTAGTGCTCGTGCTTTTTCTTTGTTGTATCAATGTTTGTTTATGACTTGAAATTCAAAACAAACGATTATGGAAACTGAGTCGTTGTCGTTGGATAGTAAATTTGTTTTGACTAATTTGTTTAACTTTAGTTAGTAGCCTCATAGGCTGATTTCTTTTGTGTTGGTGTTGGTATACCTAGGTCCAGGTGTTAACCCTTTGTTTGTTCATGTTCATACTTGTAGATTTTGTTTACCTGTAGGTTGAGGTTCAAACAAATGAGGATGATTTAAACATACTGTATTTTGTTTTGGTCTTTTGTCAGTAAGTAACTCAATTATATTCATCAAGGATTTGTGTCATACTAGATTAGCCATAGACTGTAATAACTTTCAAACAGTGAAGACATCTAACAAAATAGCATGTACCTAACATATTTTGTTTACAAAACTATAATTTGTTTATTGGGTACAGGTATGATTACAATAAAGCTTTAAGTTATGCTACAATACAAAACAATGATCATCTGTCGCTACCCAGCTAAATCGGTCATATAAGATGAGTTGTGGTCAGGCTTACAACATATAACTGTTGATCACAGAATAGGAAGAAAGCTAAAGAATTGAATCTGTCCATGTCCTCTGAGGTCTCTCACAATATGAGACTGAAAATGGCCTTCAAAACAAACAAAAAGAAACAAGGTTATTTAAGAAACCAGCTACCGGTATATGTACGCTAATAATGAATAACAAATAAACTTATTTGTTGAACACTTTTAAAATGACAGTCCTACTTTGTATTTCGTTTATAGTTTTTAAGTATAGGTAGACTAGAAAATCATGATCAGTAAGCCTACAGGTTTGTTGGTGATACCATAGAATAAAGAGTAAGGAACTCTTTGCTCTGTGGTAATATTTTTAAGCTAAAGAAAGTGTTTAAATCCCTGAATTTGCACAGAATTCTATAAGCGTATTTGTAACATGTATAGATTTGTATGCAGGCTAAGAAAAGACTTTTAAAGCACAACATTTAACACAATTGGTGAATTAGAAAAGCTTACAATCAACAACCAAAACATAAAATTGAAGTTTAAGTCAAATTTAAAATCTATGTCTTGACGTGTTTTTATGGCATTCAGGCTATAATAGAATCACTTTTTTAACTAACGTTTTCTCATCCCCAGAAATGCCTGACGACACTAGACCTGACGTCGCTGGGTGTAGGCAGTTGTGTGGGGACAGGCATGTACCTGGTGGCTGGTATGGTTGCCCACAATGTCGCAGGGCCCGGGGTCGTCATCTCTTTTATCATCGCCGCAGTCGCCTCTATATTTTCAGGTAAGCCTACTTTAGCTAACTATAACCTAATGTCAAATATAAGTGTGGCGTATTGGTATGTAAATAGGGTTTATAATATTATATAAAAAATAATGCATTTATGTTAACAATTTTAAAAGGTTCGTCTAGCTATGCTATACAATACAAAAAAACATGCTTGGGTCTTTCTATAATACTCAAGATGTCAGGGGCAAGTATTGTACCAGCTAGTACTGTCCATTGAATTATTGGTGATAACTAACTTAACGTTTTGTAGACGGGCTGTTAGTTTTTGGGCGACCTCTTTTAAACATGTTTGATAATTCGTTTTGGCACATACAACTTGTAGTAAACAAATGTTGTATAAACACATGTCAAACAAAACAAAAGTTCACCAAACAAGTTTTATAGAGTAAACACGGCTTAACACCAAATGTCAACCTTTAATGTGTCAAAGATAGTCTTAGTGATCAAACTGTGCTAGCTGCCTTCAATTTAAGTGAGGCAGTGTCTATTCTTTGTTCTGTGGTTTAATGGACTAGTGCTGCGGTCTAGCCACATGATCAGAACTGGTTACTATGTGGTATCCATTGCTGTGCTGTGCATTATTGACTTTGTTGATAGTCCCGTGGAGTAGCTTGCTGCTAATGCCGCTCTCGCAGGGTAATATTACCTTAGTGATGTTTTATGACTATATTTTCAAGTGTGACTACTGCAGTGTGGATTGAGAAAGATTTAACATAGGAACTAGCGTTTTAATATGGCAGTAATGTATAAAGAATGAAAATGCACGGTACCGTTAATCAGTTTAATGTGTTAAATGGTATTAAATGTTTAATTCACAGAAAATATACCATTATAGGTCTATAGTCTGTGATGAATTTAAAAAGAAAAATTCAGAGTACCTCTATCCTGGACGGGGAGCTAGCTTCCAGCTGGAATTTTCAATTAGGATAAGAAGAATATCAGACACAATATCAAGAAGAGGGTTTGAATTGAAATAATCTATTATATTTTACTTCATTTAATAGTTAAAAGATAGATTTGTAATTCAATCTGCCGAGGTAAATAAGTCAACAAATAGAAAACTACTAAAAGGTATTATTTTTTTATAATAAAAATTTGTGTTTTTTAAGTTTATTAAGAAATTTTATTATTTTTAATTTATATCTGTTCAGTGAATAATCATTAAGTATAGCATATTTTTATCTAAATCCTATTTATGGTATTTTTTTTCAGAATATTTGCTTTAGCGCTTTCAATGACTTTGGTAATGTTGAAAAAAAAATCCACTACCGGTCTTTCAACCCAAATATTAGCAAAGGATTAAAGTAGGAGAAGACTATACTGAGTACGTTAGTTGCTGACTTGCTTAGATCAGCTATATCTTTAGCCTGGATAAAATTATTAATTCATAACAAAATTTGCCAACCCCCCCCCCCCCCCCTTTCAAAAGAAGATTTTCATGGATAGATTTCTTTTGTAGCTAAAAAATTTAACCCCGAATGCCCATGCCTAAATCAATTAAATTAACTTATCACTCAATCAAAGTATGACTAACAAAGAATTCTTAATTAACAATCTGTCGGTTACCTAACTCCCACCAACACCTCCGCACCACTGAGGTTGACGAGGAAACAAACCAATTAGTGGCGAGGATGCTTGATATCGATATTGATACTTGTGATGTGATATCATCTCGACTACGGAGAGCGTCAACAGTATCAGCAACAGGTATGACTTGCCCTCAGCCGCAAGATTTATGTCTTACGATCCAAACTTGGCAACTAAGGAGCAGTTTTAAACTTCTTGGGGTTGTTATGAGTAAACTTCATTATTGTTTCAAAACAGTTGCGCAACCAGTAGCAAGGGCACAAGACAGAGACCTCTGGGTTTTGGCTGTGTGATAATGCTACCCAGTGGTTCACATACATAAGTCGACCTGTCAGGTGTCTACAGGGAGAAGAACAATCTCTGATGTGGGGAACTCTCTCTTTTAAAAAACTCTTTGGGAATGAATCAGCTGGTCTAAGAAAACAGTGAGTCTGAATACTTAACACTTTTTGGACTAATTTTTTTGTATTATTTCCCAAAGAGAAACCACTAATCTCTTTCACATAATAGTATTATATTAATTAGGTTATCCTACTAAATATATATTATCCTGAGATATTCTAAAATTTCAGCTTTAACATTAGAGCAAAGCGATCTCACTCCTGAACATAAGACCAAGCTAATGACTTGGAGAAAGTTGTAAATTAGTCCTGTGAAGCAGTAAATTAAACTGATATGACAGGCACCCCCATTAACCCTATTTCAGTTATTTAATGGCTGTCATTGTTAATACACATTAAGCTATCAAACATAATTAAATAGTGAAGGCATTCTAGCTGATTTATGCTTTCCTATCTTCAACGTTTAGAGTCAGAATCTTGGTCTTGGGTCTGGTTTCAGGATGATTTAAAGAGTTTTAAATAGTTTCTTAGCAGATTTTGAAGGTTGTTATTGCAGGTAAAAAAACATTAAAACAATTTAAAATTAAAGAATTTCGTAATTGTTTTAATTTATTATTTAGCTAATTACAGTTCTGTAGTATTATACTCATAGTAATAATAATAGTATTGCTTTATTATAGTATGCTACAAAACGTATCGTGTGTATGTATGTATTGTATGTTGTATTTTTATTAATTTATAACCTAAGAAAACACCACATATATACTTATTAAAAGTATGGCTTGTAGCATGGACCTTCTGGTCTAGAGACGTGGGCTCAATTCCTGCCAAACACCAATGACTATTTTCTATCTAATATTTTGTGACCCATTGGTTTGTAGTCCGCCTTAAGTCCCCCAAAAAAAATTGGTATTTAAAAACTTGTTTTCGAGGTCCAGTTGATGCATATAGACTTAATTTTTTAGAACAAAGATACTTAAATCTACTATTTCTAAGCACTTAAACTTGATATAAAGTAATTGGCAAAATACTAAAAAACTCTAATGGTAATGACCTATCAGCAATCTGATTTTTCCGTTAACGGAAAAATTGGATTTTCTCAAAAATGGCCTTAACGATTTTTATAAAAATTGAGTATGTTGTAGTCCTTTGTATTCTAAACAAAATGGTACAAAAGTTACGGTTAAAAAGTTATTGCAGCTTGTGTTATTTTCCCTAAATCCCCCCATAAAACGAAGAAAATCAGATTTAAGTAAAGAGCCGGTTTTAATTAAAGTTAATGTGTTATGGTCTTTATAATTATATAAAAAATAGTGCAACCCCCCTTTGCTGGAACAATTACGGTTCAAAAGTTATTGCAACTTTTGACATTTTCCCTATAAAATAGCATGGTCACTCCCACTGCTTACACATGATAAAGGTTGTTGACAAGCTAATGGAGAAAGCTAATGGAGAAGCTAATGGGAGAAAGTATGTGTCAGATTGCTGATAGGTCATTACCATTAGAGTTTTTTAGTATTTTGCCAATTACTTTATATCAAGTTTAAGTGCTTAGAAATAGTAGATTTAAGTATCTTTGTTCTAAAAAATTAAGTCTATATGCATCAACTGGACCTCGAAAACAAGTTTTTAAATACCAATTTTTTTTGGGGGACTTAAGGCGGACTACAAACCAATGGGTCACAAAATATTAGATAGAAAATAGTCATTGGTGTTTGGCAGGAATTGAGCCCACGTCTCTAGACCAGAAGGTCCATGCTACAAGCCATACTTTTAATAAGTATATATGTGGTGTTTTCTTAGGTTATAAATTAATAAAAATACAACATACAATACATACATACACACGATACGTTTTGTAGCATACTATAATAAAGCAATACTATTATTATTACTATGAGTATAATACTACAGAACTGTAATTAGCTAAATAATAAATTAAAACAATTACAAAATTCTTTAATTTTAAATTGTTTTAATGTTTTTTTACCTGCAATAACAACCTTCAAAATCTGCTAAGAAACTATTTAAAACTCTTTAAATCATCCTGAAACCAGACCCAAGACCAAGATTCTGACTCTAAACGTTGAAGATAGGAAAGCATAAATCAGCTAGAATGCCTTCACTATTTAATTATGTTTGATAGCTTAATGTGTATTAACAATGACAGCCATTAAATAACTGAAATAGGGTTAATGGGGGTGCCTGTCATATCAGTTTAATTTACTGCTTCACAGGACTAATTTACAACTTTCTCCAAGTCATTAGCTTGGTCTTATGTTCAGGAGTGAGATCGCTTTGCTGTTTGCTCTAATGTTAAAGCTGAAATTTTAGAATATCTCAGGATAAAATATATTTAGTAGGATAACCTAATTAATATAATACTATTATGTGAAAGAGATTAGTGGTTTCTCTTTGGGAAATAATACAAAAAAATTAGTCCAAAAAGTGTTAAGTATTCAGACTCACTGTTTTCTTAGACCAGCTGATTCATTCCCAAAGAGTTTTTTAAAAGAGAGAGTTCCCCACATCAGAGATTGTTCTTCTCCCTGTAGACACCTGACAGGTCGACTTATGTATGTGAACCACTGGGTAGCATTATCACACAGCCAAAACCCAGAGGTCTCTGTCTTGTGCCCTTGCTACTGGTTGCGCAACTGTTTTGAAACAATAATGAAGTTTACTCATAACAACCCCAAGAAGTTTAAAACTGCTCCTTAGTTGCCAAGTTTGGATCGTAAGACATAAATCTTGCGGCTGAGGGCAAGTCATACCTGTTGCTGATACTGTTGACGCTCTCCGTAGTCGAGATGATATCACATCACAAGTATCAATATCGATATCAAGCATCCTCGCCACTAATTGGTTTGTTTCCTCGTCAACCTCAGTGGTGCGGAGGTGTTGGTGGGAGTTAGGTAACCGACAGATTGTTAATTAAGAATTCTTTGTTAGTCATACTTTGATTGAGTGATAAGTTAATTTAATTGATTTAGGCATGGGCATTCGGGGTTAAATTTTTTAGCTACAAAAGAAATCTATCCATGAAAATCTTCTTTTGAAAGGGGGGGGGGGGTTGGCAAATTTTGTTATGAATTAATAATTTTATCCAGGCTAAAGATAAAGCTGATCTAAGCAAGTCAGCAACTAACGTACTCAGTATAGTCTTCTCCTACTTTAATCCTTTGCTAATATTTGGGTTGAAAGACCGGTAGTGGATTTTTTTTTCAACATTACCAAAGTCATTGAAAGCGCTAAAGCAAATATTCTGAAAAAAAATACCATAAATAGGATTTAGATAAAAATATGCTATACTTAATGATTATTCACTGAACAGATATAAATTAAAAATAATAAAATTTCTTAATAAACTTAAAAACACAAATTTTTATTATAAAAAAATAATACCTTTTAGTAGTTTTCTATTTGTTGACTTATTTACCTCGGCAGTTTGAATTACAAATCTATCTTTTAACTATTAAATGAAGTAAAATATAATAGATTATTTCAATTCAAACCCTCTTCTTGATATTGTGTCTGATATTCTTCTTATATCCTAATTGAAAATTCCAGCTGGAAGCTAGCTCCCCGTCCAGGCTAGAGGAAGATGTATGGACTCTGTGTGTTTCATTATACATTCTAGCCACAGTCTGTTGGGTCTGTTGGGTGTTTCCATACTTATTCATTATTATTTGTATTGAATTACGTTATTGTTGTGTGCTCTCTTGCAAAATCACTTTGTATTACAATTTATTTGGAAGACACAGACCAAATGTTAAAACAGAGTAACGTAGTTGAATGAGAATATAGAGTAAGCTACTAAGTTTTGGTTATCAAGATGGTCTAGTGATGCTTTTTTAAGTTAAGAGATGGAACACAAAAAGCTTAGCTTATAGCCTAAGACTGACGATAACGCTCCGGCGTAAAAACCCAGGTCTCCACAATAAATCAATTGGATTGTAAGGTAAGCCTTAGATTATAACAATGATTAATAACGATCCAGAGGCTATGTCTCCAAAAGTTCTATTTGATACACATTTAGTATCGCAAAGTGGTTAAATTAATGGGGAATTTTAAAACGGCATGAGTGTGAAAATAATCGTGTTTTGTATTTATAAATATTTTTATTTTGTTGAACTTGCCTAGTAGATTAAGAGCAAAATATTACTTTTTCCTAAAATTTAACTAGATTCCGGAAAACACTAATAGGCCTATCATAAATAATATACATTTTTGTAATAAATATTGAATAGCACTAAACTAAAATACAACTAAAATTTCCAGGTCTATAATTTAATTTTTAAATTGTAGTTAATTTAAACAATAATTTTTATAATTTAATCATTTGTAGTTTTACCTAAAAGGTAGAAGTATTGGAATAAACCCCATGTTTCCAGGTTATTTAAATTATCCATCTCTTTTAGGCTCTGGGGTCCAAAATGTGTCTGAATTGAAAAAAGTTACAATCGATGTAAAAACAAAGTAACCAAATTAATAATTAGATAACAAAGAAACCGTAGGACTCAATTAACACAATTTACTAAAGCATCTTTACAAATTTCCTTCTTGCTGAGATGTAAAAGTTGTTGCTACTCTGGGATGCGACAGAAATCCTGTAATAACTCAAGGTACACTTTAAAGTTTAGCCCAGCAGGATGAGGTACACCGTCTTACGGATCCTCATAAACTCTGTAACAAACTTTAGAAGGAGTGGCTTGTATGTTAATGAACAAAAGTAGGCCAATATCTATTTAACATCACATCACCTACAGTGTGTTATGTTGAAAGAATTCTTTGTAATTTTAAAAGTAATAATGATTTTAGTCTTAAAATTACACGTACCTTCTTTAGGTTTTAAGATTTTAAAGCTGTTGTTAAGCTGATTAGTGAATATGGTGTTTAATTTTTCACTAAAAATGTGTATAATATAGAATATTTATTGAGGTTACCAATTTATTTTTTTTTGTAATATTGCCTTTCACAATGTTAAGACATTCTTTAAGTAATAAGAATATGTATTTGTTTTAATGATACAGAACAGCATTTTCAAGAATGCTCAAAAAGAATACTGTAGTTTTATGGACTAGGGTAGGGTATTACAGCTATATTGACAATTATTTAAATTTTATTGTAGGTCCTTTTCATGCACTGTGGTACAATACTATAAGTGATATAAATAAAGATATTTTGTTACAGGTGCTTGCTACGCAGAGTTCGGCGTGCGAGTGCCCCACACCACAGGGTCCGCTTACATGTACAGTTACGTCACCGTGGGTGAACTCATCGCCTTCGTGATCGGTTGGAACATGATCCTCGAGTACCTCATAGGCACGTCGGCCTGCGCCTGTGCCCTCAGCGCCTGCTTCGACGCCCTCACCAACGGCCAGATCAGCAAGACCATCGCCAGTGATGTTGGCACATTCTTTGGTAAGTCATGGAAATCCTTTTATATAAAACCCACCATTCAAAAATGGATATTGCTATGGGGTATTTTATGCAGTTTTGTAAGTACATAGTGCATAATAAGCTGAAGTTTCATTTAGTTGGAAGATTACTGTTCCTGTGTATGAAACACTGTTTGAATTGGAGCTATTAATTTCTGACAAAAACAATATAGGTGTTAATTTTGTGACCTATACTGTAAGTCTGATTAAACCATGAAGACTAAGGGTAAGTGTAGCGACTTCTCTATAAGGAATCCATTTATAACTATCGATCGGAAATATTGAGATACATGATTGTATAGGTGGTTAAGTGAATAAAAAGTGAATTTGTTACCGGTTCCGAATGAAAGCTGAAGGAAGATTTTAGAAAGTTAGTTAGGTAAAGTTTGTTCCAAGATGAAGCGTGTGAGGTAATGTAATTTTTACAATAGCTGACCGGCAAAACATATTTTTTACCAAAATACAAGCGCTAGGAGGAAACATCTGTAAAGGCACCAGGGCCAAAGGTAACAAAACACTTGTATTTAAATTCAAAGTTTCATTTATAACAACAGAGAGTTTTTCATTTGTTTTAATTATTACAAAAAATTATTCACCCCTGTTTTAGATAGGTCAATCAGTATTTAAGTATATGGCATTTATTTTATGTGACAGCGTCCCTTACTGATTTTCACGTGACAAAATATCATGAGTCGTCAACACTTACAGACATCAGTGGTAGCAGAAAATTATCAAAGCCAATTTCAAAGTTGTTCAAGAGGAGTTGACTTACAGTTGCAAAATGTAATCTCCAACAGAAACAATTTTCAAGAAAGTTGTAGTTTGAGAAACAATTAACAAAACTAGTGGAGCCATAGGTACTTAGAATTTGAACACAGTTCACAATTAGTTGTATAATTAACTACCGTAGGTTTAAAGTGATTATCTAGTGTTGCCAATTTAGGTGAGCAGTTCAATTAGTCAGATGACTAGTACCATACCTCTTTACACTTAAAGTGGATAACTACAGGGTTTACTGGAGTAATTGGTTAATTGGTGTGTAATGTGAATAAGTGAAATCCAATATCATTATAGGTTGTATAAAAAGCACAAACAAAGATTGCTTTAATTAGTAAATTACTGTTACTCACTAAATGAAGCAGGAAAATATTTACTGACTTGTTATCTTTTGTAAGCTGTAATATACTCTACAATCAATATTTTGGAGTATTTGAAAGCCAATCATGCTGAAATAATTTTATTCTGTGAAGTGATAATACCTTTTACATTCATGAACATTTATTTGATTTAAATATTATAAATAATTTATAATTTTTCTTGCTTATCGTTGGTACACTGTTTTATTTATGTTTCATGGTTGTAAACCATGAAAGCCATATGGTAGATGTTGATGGTAAATTAATCATAAACCAAACATTTTTAACGGTATACATCAGTCCAGTAAAGGTTAAATTTGGAAAAACAGTAGCATCATGTCGTGAAAACTTCTCTATAACATCTAATCATGCATCTTTGCTTGAGCTAAAAGTATAATCACATTAGATTAATAGCTTCAAAAAAGCGGCGGTAAATTACAAAAACTTTATCATGTAACCTTTCTGTCTTGGAAAAATAAAAAAATTAATAAAACTCACCTACATTATTAATACGCTTCACGAAACTTTGTGAAAAATAAGGCTTTTTTGTTTTAAAATTTAACCCCACATATTATATACCAAATTATGTTCTTCTAGGTGTGTAGATTTGCAAACTAACCTTACATTTTTGAAAAAGTCCCTTGAACTCTGCCCCAGTGGCTTTTAAAGTTCCCATGTTATCCTTATGAAGAACATGTTTGTTTACATTGTGATCAGCTTGATAATTTAATTGCTGTTAATATTTTAGTTGCAATTTAACCCATTAGCGCCGACTTACGAGCGTTACTCGTACGGCCGCTGCAGGCCCGGAGGCCGACTTACGAGAGCCGCTCGTGTCACCGCTAGGCAGCGCCATTTTTTATTTAGTTATTATTATTTTTCGCCCTTTTTGTTTCTTCTTACTATTATAATGTTTATAAATATCTTGCTTCTTGATTTGCGTATTTACTCATTTATTTTAGCGAATAACAAACAATTTTGTGTTGCCATGGAAACCACATATCACCAAAAATCAGCTGCGGTAAGGTAAACAAACAATTTTTTTAAAATGTTATTACTTACTAGGTGGCGTTCGCAGAGGCATCCACAAAATTGAGCGGAGTCATCAAGGGTTCATATTATATTGTTTTTGTCTTACTGCAGTAAAAACAGTATTTTTTCATGCATGCGCTGCGGGTCTAAAGTAGCATTTTTAATATTTAGGGAGTAAAAATCGTTTTTAGCCTCTATGGAGTAAAAATCAGCTGTTGTCAACTCAGTTGTAAATTTCGATTGTAAACGATTGCATGTATCGAAAATATGTATCAATTTGTGCTTCGTAATCATTTTTAACATATTACAGTCTACAGTCTCTTCCCGTAGCATTTTAGCATTGCAGATACATTAATCCATTCCCAAACTCAACACTGCTCACATTTACTACTTCCTTCACCACACCCTACGTCGTGGACCTGTTTCCCTCTCTTCCCATAGCATTTTAGGATTGCAGATACATTAATGTAATTGCCAAAGACAGTTCCCACACTCTGCGCTGTTAGCCTTACTACTTCCTTCACCATTTACTACGTCATTGGCCTGTTTCCTTCCTTTCTCATAGCATTTAAGTATTACAAATTCACTTATCCATCTGCTCAAACGGTTCCCCCACTCTGCACTGCCAGCCTTTACTACTTCCTTCACCACTTACGTCGTGGACCTGTATTCATCGCTTTCCATAGCATTTTAGTATTTTAGATACGTTAATCTAATTGCAACAAACATCCCCACTGTCCGTACTGCTAGACTTTACTACTTCTTTCACAATTTCCTATGTCTTGGGCATGCTTCCATCCCTTCTCATAGCATTTCAGCATTGCAGATACATTAAAACTGCTACAAACGGTTTCCAGTTCCCACACTCCACACTGCTCACCTTACTACTTCTTTCACCTGTTCCTACGTCGCGGATCTGTTTCCCTCTCTTCCCATAGCATTTTAAGATTGCAGATACCTGAATCTAATCGTCATAAACAGATCCCACACTCCGAACAGCTCGCCTTTACTACTTCCTTCGCCACTTCCCACATCGCGGACCTGTTTTCCTCCCTTCCCATAGCATTTTAGGATTGCAGATACCCTTATCTTATCGTCATAAACAGTTCCCACACTCCGGACAGCTCGCTTTGACTACTTCCTTCACCACTTCCTACGTCACGGGCCTGTTTCCCTCCCTTTCCCATAGCAGTTTTGATTGCCCATACCCTTATCTAATCGTCATAATAGTTCCAACACTCCGGACAGCTCGCCTTGACTACTTCCTTCACCACTTCCTACGTCGCGGACCTGTTTCCCTCCCTTCCCATTGCACTTAAAGATTGCAGATACCTTAATCTAATCGTCATAAACAGTTCCTGCACTCCGGACTACTCGCCTTGAATACTTCCATCACCACTTCCTACGTCGCGGACCTGTTTTCCTCCCTTCCCATAGCATTTTAGGATTGCAGATACCCTAATCTAATCGTCATAAACAGTTTCCACACTCCAGACTGTTCACCTTTACTACTTCCTTAACCTCTTCATACGTCACGAACCTCAAGCTAGTGTCGTCATTTGATTATAGTACCTGGGGACCGAGCTTTGCTCGGGGAAAATCATTAGTTCACTCTGAAAGCACCGTAGTATTGGAGATACATAAATCCACACATCTACATCCTACACAATTTCCTACGTCATGGACCTGTTTCCCTCCATTCCATTGCATTTAAAGATTGCAGATACCTTAATCTAATCGTCATAAACAGTTCCCACACTCCGGACTACTCGCCTTGACTACTTCCTTCACCACTTCCTACGTCGCGGACCTGTTTCCCTCCCTTCCCGTAGCATTTTAGGTTTGCTGATACCATAATCTAATTGTCATTAACATATCCAACACTCCGGACAACTCGCCTAGACTACTTTCTTCACCACTTCCTACGTCGCGGACCTATTTTCCTCCCTTTCCATAGCATTTTAGAATTGCAAATACCTTAATCTAATCGTCATAAACAGTTCCCACACTCCGGACAGCTCACCTTGACTACTTCCTTCATCACTTCCTACGTCGCGGACCTGTTTTCCTCCCTTCCCGTAGCATTTTAGGTTTGCTGATACCTTAATCTAATTGTCATAAACATTTCCAACACTCCGGACAACTCGCCTAGACTACTTCCTTCACCACGTCCTACGTCGCGGACCTATTTTCCTCCCTTTCCATAGCATTTTAGGATTGCAAATACCTTAATCTAATCATCATAAACAGTTCCCACGCTCCAGACAGCTCGCCTTGACTACTTCCTTCACCACTTCTTACGTCACGGACCTGTTTCCCTCCCTTCCCATAGCATTTTAGGATTGCCCATACCCTTATCTAATCGCCATAAACAGTTCCCTCACTCCTGACAGCTCGCCTTGACTACTTCCTTCACCACTTCTTACGTCGCGGACCTCTTTCCCTCCCTTCCCATAGCATTTTAGGATTGCCCATACCCTTATCTTATCGTCATAAACAGTTCCCACACACCGGACAGCTCGCTTTGACTACTTCCTTCACCACTTCCTACGTCACGGGCCTGTTTCCTTCCCTTTCCCATAGCATTTTTGATTGCCCATACCCTTATCTAATCGTCATAATAGTTCCAACACTCCGGACAGCTCGCCTTGACTACTTCCTTCACCACTTCCTACGTCGCGGACCTGTTTCCCTCCCTTCCCATTGCACTTAAAGATTGCAGATACCTTAATCTAATCGTCATAAACAGTTCCCGCACTCCGGACTACTCGCCTTGACTACTTCCTTCACCACTTCCTACGTCGCGGACCTGTTTTCCTCCCTTCCCATAGCATTTTAGGATTGCAGATACCCTAATCTTATCGTCATAAACAGTCCCCACACTCCGGACTGCTCACATTTACTACTTCCTTCATATCACTTCCTACGTCACGGACCTGTTTCCCTCTATTCCCATAGCATTTTATGATTGCCTTTACTACTTCCTTCACTACTTCCTACGTCACGGACCTGTTTCCTTCCCTTCCCATAGCATTTTAGGATTGCAGATACCTTAATGTATTCGTCATAAACAGATCCTAGACTTCGCACTGCTACCCTTGACTACAATGTATCGAGTAATCTTAAGTATAATCTTTGCTCAATATTAACAAGTGATGTTTTTCCTTTTGTACTGTATTTGTAATTTCCTAGTATACTGTGGGTAGTTGGCTTATTATGAACACATGCTAAAACTTCAAATCTTTTGTTTACTTTTTACTTGTTATTTAATTCAGCCAACATGGTTACCTAGCAACCCATAAGACTAATGTTAAGAAAATGTGATTTTCAGTTTCATTTTTCTACGGATTCCTGAGAGACTTTTTAACGCCATATAGATGTTGGCACTCACCGATATGGTCTTTATCACCATGCAAAATTTGAAAACGATTGATTCAGCCGTCTAGGAGGAGTTTGCGTATTACGAAATGCATAAAAGTCGACGTATAAGAGCTTCGCTCGCTTCGCTCGCTCCGCTCAATAAAAGTACACAACTTTTGATTTTTCTACGTAGGGAATCGATCGACCTTTATAATAGTAGTGTTATTTGGTGTCTGGATTAATCTTGGAATTTGTATATCAAGTTTACTTTCAAAATATTGTTTTTAAAATTTTTATTTTTATAATCTTTATATATATATATTTTTTTAGTTTACAACTTTGACTATCCAATTAACACTTTTCTGTAGACAATTTTACTGCGAACAAAATGGTGAAAGAATTATTAATTTATTACCTAAGGTTTTCTTTCTATAGCAGTTAGAGTAAAAGTGTACAAATTCGGTAAAATTAATTGCCGCCAGAGGGTGCTGCAGGTAGCGGATTAATTCCTTCCCCAATGGGTTAAGGAAACGTGAGCTACAAACACATATTTACTGACTTGGTTGAAATAAAATATTTACTATATGAATTTGGGTTGGCGTAAATATTACAATGGAAAAAGCAAGAAAGTGATTACTAAAAATAAAACTGAATTAACACACTGTGCTGCATTTCTTGAGCAATCATTTTTTTTTAGAATTTATAATCATTTTGGACAACCTAATGCGGCTATGAGTGGGAAACATATTTGTAGAAAACACTAAACAGCGAGATCAGCTTTTAAAAAATGATGAGATTGCAAGAAATGTTGATTATATTGAACTGTTATTACATCGTGAGTATTTTCATAATCTTTGAGTCGACTCTTTCAAATTCAACGGAAATTATGACTGTTATTCATTTTAAATTAACGTATGTAATACTTTGTGATTGCTCGAATTCAAGCAACAGGTACACTAGTGTTGATTAAACTTCAACGTGGTGAACTCGCGCTGCAAGTTATTTAGCTGTAAAGCTATAGTAAAATTGGTATTTACTTTCATTGTGATGGAGTGATATTAATTTTTTCATGGTGGCCCTTAATATTAATTTCCATCCTAAAATGAAACAATAATATTCAACATATTTATCAATTCCCTGCTTCACATTGATTTGCATTATGTATGTATTTTTTGTAACTATACTGTTGACACCAGTAACAATAGTGAAAATGTTTACCTAAAACAATATGTAACAAATTTTTTTTAATTCACTCAGTTGTTTCACTTACTTAGTAACTATTGCATATGGCTAAATGAGTATGCTCCTGTCAGTTAGTATCCCAGAGATGGTACTCAGTTTGCTCCTAACAGTTAGTATCCCAGAGATGGTACTCAGTTTGCTCCTAACAGTTAGTATCCCAGAGATGGTACTCAGTTTGCTCCTAACAATATCCCAGAGATGGTACTCAGTATGCTGCTCACAGTATCCCAGAGATGGTACTCAGTATGCTGCTCACAGTATCCCGGAGATAGTACTCAGTATGCTGCTCCCAGAGATGGTACTCAGTATGCTCCTGACAGCTAGTATCCCAGATGGTACTCAGTATGCTGCTCACAGTATCCCAGAGATGGTACTCAGTATAATCCTAACAGCTAGTAGATCCCAGATGGTACTCAGTATGCTCCTCACAGTATTCCAGAGATGGTACTCAGTATGCTCCTAACAGCTAGTATCCCAGAGATGGTACTCAGTTTGCTCCTAACAGTATACCAGAGATGGTACTCAGTATGCTGCTCACAGTATACCAGAGATAGTACTCAGTGTGCTGCTCCCAGAGATGGTACTCAGTATGCTCCTCACATTATCCCAAAGATGGTACTCAGTATGCTCCTAACAGCTAGTATCCCAGAGATGGTACTCAGTATGCTCCTCACAGTATCGTAGATGGTACTCAGTATATGCTGCTCACAGTGTATTAAGCTTAGTAATCTGTGGCATAGGTGTAAAGATGGAAGACGTAACTTTTTTCCCTTGTGTTTTGGTTAGATATCATCCTAACCTAAATCGACGTAACCTGGAAAAAAAAACATTGAACAAGTCATAAACAATTTTTATCCCAAAGGGGTAACTTTTAAATTTTCCGATTCATTCCCATAGCTTCCCCATAACAGACCCATAAATGAAATGAAATGAAATGTGTTTATTGTCTTGTGAATTTATACAAATTATTGACAATGTCCGAAAAACTGCTAAAACTAGCATAGTCAGTTAATGAATACAATATACAATATTTACAAGAATACTACACACAAGGAGACATGTTACAATACATACTTTAATATTACAACCAAATAATCTTATTGTTCAGAAAAATGCAACAATTTAAGAAATGGCATTTAGAATAATGAAAGTTATTAAACCCCATAACCAACTAAATCCAACAGTAATTTGGTAAATTTGCTAGCTCTACTTAAAAATTAATAAAAGGCATTTCAAAAAAAATCTTTTAGAGAATAAAAAGGGTTGTTCAAAAGCCATTTGTAGAATTTAGATTTAAAAGTTTTATTAGGATACTAGCTGTGTACCCGTTCTACGCACGGGGATCTTATAATATTCAGTTGAAACCTTCTTATATAAAGAACAGCAGTTGGTTTGCATATTTTAAGATATGCTGGCCAAACTATTATACATAGCTTCATTTTATGTTGTTTTTTGTTGTTCCGGATCGGTATGACAATCAATAAAAGGTTAAATTACCTCTGTGTCTGCCGGTCGATCCTATAACGGTAGGCTTACTTTTATTTTTACTATCTGATCTCGTTTGCATGGCTCAATCACGTCCTGGTTGAAGTTCGTTCGCTACGCTCACTCACCTGTATGTTGGAGCTCGTTCGCTGCGCTCACTTTCCTTCAGGTTAGCTCGTTCGCTACGCTCACTTGCCTTCAGGTTAGCTCGTTCGCTACGCTCACTCGCCTCCAGGTTGCAAATTAGCTGTTGTCATAAATGTAAAAGAAATAATAGTGCTAGTGCTGCACCCTGTTGGTAATCCTTGTAACTTTAATGCTATTGAACATCACAGAACAGAACCAACTTGTTTAATTGAAACAGCTGTTAAGATTCAATAATTTCATTTCTCATAAGGTTAACATGGGCTTCCAGAAATTCCACGTCAAAAATCGACAAAAACTTGATTTTCAAGGGTTTACTGTTAAATATCTAACTGTCTCATATTCGATGAAATACGTCTAAAACCATCTCATATATGTATAGTATTTGGAAAATAAGTTTCAGGCGGGACAGTGCTATAGTTATTGAGGAGTAGTTGTAATAAAGTGCGTATTTTAGCGTTACCAAGAGAATGACAGATAGACAGACAGACAGACAGACAGACAGACAGACAGAAATTGAGATAAGGTTTGATTCGGTTTCTCTGACCTATGAAATGTAAAAATAACCAAAAAGTTCATTATTCTAAGCAATGTACAGACAAAACTCTAATTTTATTTATATAGATTTTGTTATTAAATGTATTAGCTTGTTGTATATTTTTAGTGAGAGTGAGATTACAATATGACTTTTAAGAGTTCTAGACAGTCTAAAAAAAACTATGGTAGCAACGTTTTTATTCCTTTATTATAAACATGAGAATTTTGTTTGATAAGGTTGGGATTTTGTAGAATATATGATACAGAGTCAAATATATAAATGTTGATTACTGTTGGAATTTGTAGCTGAATGAACAGGGGTTTACAGTGTTCCTGTTGGGGTTCACAAGATATGATTCTAACTAACTTCTTTTGTAAGACTAAAATTTCCTCTATCCTACTGCAATTTCCGTAAAAGATAATATTGTATCTGAAAATGGATTGGAAATAAGCAAAGTAGGCTGTTTTAATATAATTTTGATCTATAAAATGTATGTACGTAACCTGAAAAAAAAACATTGAACAAGTCATAAACAATTTTTATCCCAAAGGGGTAACTTTTAAATTTTCCGATTCATTCCCATAGCTTCCCCATAACAGACCCATAGTAGGTAAGCATATATTTTTTGTTCCTAATGGGATAGGTACTTTACTCTCTACCTGTTCTGTCTCAGGGCGGCCACCAGACGTGTTAGCGTTTATCATCACACTGCTGATGATGGTGCTGCTGGCTGCGGGAGTGAAGAAGTCTCTCATCTTCAACAACATCCTCAACGCTGTCAACATGTCTGCATGGGTGTTCCTCATGACTGCTGGGCTGTTCTATGTTGACACTAGCAACTGGACCCAACACAAGGGGTTCCTACCCTTCGGTTGGTCAGGGGTGAGTTAATTCTTGTCTGATCCCAGGCAACTTAGATCAAATCCGTCATAATGTGCAGTTTAAATATGTAAATATAATACATAAAGTACAAAAAGAGAACCTGAATAAATAACCGGTAGAAATATAAAAAAAAACAATCACCTAAACAGTCTGTATCTGTACATCAGTTAAACAAAAAACATAGAAAACAAAGAGGTCATACGAGTATGTGAAAAAATCCATGAATTTGCTATAGATCAGTGGCAGGTTTACAGGTTTTAGTCAAACCACAACCTTAATGATGGTTAACAAATATTTATACTTACAAATTTATACATAAGTTTTTACTGAAACAGACATATTTAAAAATGTGATATTTTTTATATGAATTTTAACCTCTAAGCTAGTTCCTATTTTCTTATTTGTTTTAAAACGTTAATTTGTTTTTGAGACAAATGAATATATTGTTAAGGGTTTCAAAGAGAATTCTAGTTTTCTGACTGCTAGAAAATAAGATTTATTTTAACATAGAGGATACGCGTCCGGTAACCGGACGTGGATAAGGCGTACGGCAATGACGTCATGGGGTTGCGGGAGCCTGGAACGCCTTTACCACAACAATACAATGTTCAGCCATCGGTGGTCGTGGTGTAGTGGATAAGGTGCTCGGCTGATAAGCAAGAGGTCCAGGGTTCGAATCCCATTGATGACTTTAAGTTTTTGTCGAAGAGTTTGCATTGAATACCATTTATTCTTAACTGTACATCTTTTATTAGAATTTTTGGCATTTATAATTTTTTTTATAGAGAAAGAATTTAACCTTAATTCGATTTTTTCATTATCAGCAAGTTTGGTTGGTTAGGTTAGGTTATGACAGTAATTGCCGGACGTCTAATCCACGTCTGGTTACCGGACGTGTATCCTCTGCCTTATTTTAAACTTTCTAGAAGAATCAGAATCATCTCTTTTATGTTTTAACCTCTGGCCTTAAGCCTGTCTTTGAAAAACAATTACTCTAGTGTGCAAGATACATCCCATTATCATGTCAATCATGGCATATTTGTATAACAACATGAGGGAGTCACCAACTGTGAAAAGTGTGCTGCTGTCTAATATGGTTTACTTTCCAAAAATATTGAGGGAATTAGTATAAAACAAATGTTAGAACTACAGAAAGGCAGAAAACAGCTTCTAGCGAGGGTTTAGTCTCGGCGTACAGTCCACTCTTGGTAATTCAAACACTTGATAATTCAAAACTTTCGATAATTCAAAATGAAGGCTCAGTCCCTAGAGAATCTCTCAATATTTCAAATTTTTACCATGCATTTTGATACACTCGGTATTTCAAAGTCCAAATAGAGGGCAGGTCAATTTGTAACACGCAGTAATTCGAAGTTTAGTCGGCAAAACACTCTATAATTCGAAGTGATCTCTTCCTGTTATAACAGGAAACTATACAGTACAGTACATCCTGTTCCCATGGTAGGCTATTTGATGGACGTTTTGATGTTTGTTTAGTTAGAGCAGTAGTCTGAGTTTGCTGACTTGTTTTTCTAAGTTGGCAATCCGATCTCTAGATTGCGTGACATCTGCTTGAGCACAAACGTATTTGTCAGACAGCTGATAGTTCAGCTTTTGGCGAAATATATAGCGCTAAATAACAGATCTCTTTGCAACTACTACAGTAACTGAAAAATAAGCCGTTGATTGTTTAAAAGTGTACTAAAATACGGTATGATGTTTTATTGTAACGTGCTGTACCTTTGTATGTATTAAACAAATGAACTCTCTGTAATTCGAATGGTTTATTTTTCTCCCGATAAATCGAACTCTTGATAATTCAAAACTCTTGATAATTCAAATTTATATGCTTGGCCCACCAATTTCGAATTATCAAGAGTCTACTGTACTCCGTTGATAACACAGCTAACCCCTACAACTGTAAAGCCTTTGAAATTGAAGGCGTAAAGTGACATATTTACAAAACGCTAGCTTAATATCCACTCACTCGCTCCACAGAAATTACATATCCCAGGACAGGTTTTTTTCTTATCAAAGATTTTTTTTTAAAGGAAAGTGATTTGTTTCCCTTGAAATACAAATTTTTTTACTTAACTTAATTATGTTAGACATCTTACCATAAAGTATTAATTCTATTACCATTCTAGGTTATATACCTTTTGTTGCCAATGTAATCCTTGGTCGTCTTGATAGCGACCGGTTTCGACACTCAAGGTGTCGTTGTCAAGCTTAAGACGTGTTGTCACTGCTAGGAGGTTGTCAAAAAGTCTTCAATATATATATACACGAGACACAAACAAACATTTTAAAGAATAAATAATACTTTATGGCCATAAAACTAATGATCACAGTGCGGCTGCAGTTTCAGGGTGTAGGTCTAGACTGACCGTCGCCGTGTCTTCCCCTCCCCTCCTACTATTCGCATTGTTGTTATCAGCTATATTGACTTCTGATTATTCTTCTATGAATGAGGCTGCTTTGTAAATTATGTCTGATTCAAACAAAGTTTTTTCGTTTAGAATGTGTTGGGGAATTCTTGCCGGCCTTGAAAATCTCATATTCTTCAATAGAAGGCTATCCATAAAATGACCTATTTTTTATGAAAATGTAATACATTGATGTTTTTGTCGATATAAAAGACATCGTGGCTATTATCATAGAAAAATTGGTTAACCGATGATCCAATACACATGTATTTCCAACTAATAAATGACAATGTAATTTCTAAAACAGATGAGATTCACTTAATAAGTCCATCTATTAGTCATGCTGTAAACATGCTGCAAGACTATCACCATGTGTTAGATAGTTGGAGCATAAAACAAAAACAATGCTTAATAGTGCCAGTAAATGATAGCAAGGACTGTCAAAATGCTGATAAGGGGAGTCATTGGAGTTTGCTAGTATATATTAAAAATAAAAATGAATTTTATCACTATGATTCATTAGGAACTGCTAACCACTCTGCTGCCCTAAACATTGTTGATAAACTCAGTGATTACCTGGGAATACAAACAAAAGCAACCTTACATACACTTGAAGGATCAGTCCAATCAAATAGCTATGACTGTGGAATTCATATAATCTTAGCAGCTGAAGCAATTATTCAAAACTTAAATTATGTAACGTCAAATAAAAAACTACCAAAATTTGACCAAAATGATTGTATTAAAAAAAGAGCTTTTTTAGCACTTGTGCTACAAAACAGGAATTTTGTTACGGCAGATGTATTAAATACATTAATGATGAATCCAGATGTACATGCTAAAACAAGTGATGAAAATGTTAAAATCTTGGAGGACAAATGTGTACAAAATGATAATCTAAAGGAAAATATTAAAATAAATATATCACACAAGAAACAACATTTACCCAGCAATATAAGTATTTCAAAAAGCAAGCAAGGTGCGGATAAACCATAAAGAATAATGATTTATGGTGATAGTCATGCTAAAGACTGTGTCCTAAATTTACAACGCATTAGTAACAGCGTTGGTGCTGATGTGTCCAGTCTGGTTAACCCTGGAGCCCCGTTATCCTACATCTACAAGAATATTAGTTCTAAAAAGTCTTCTTTTACTAAACGAGATGTGATTGTGGTTGTCGGCGGAACAAATAGTATTGATGAAGACAGTGTGGATACATGTAAAATGATTGAAGACCATATTGAAGACCTTAAACACACAAATGTTGTCCTAACTACCGTTCCATATAGATATGATCAACCAGAACACAACACAAAGATAAATACACTTAACAAAAATATATATGAAATGGTAAAGAAACATCCAGAAGTGTCATTTGTTCCCATAACCTTTTAAGCAGAGAACATTACACCTATCATGGCCTTCACCTAAATAAAAAAGGTAAGGAACTGTTATGGAACATCATTGCTCTTCATGCAATCAAGCTGCACAATTCTTCAAACGGATCAACATTTGTAACCAGCAAAGTTAGACATTCACCAGCGTCAGACAGAGTTAAAGAAAATGAGTTGGAGCATGAAGAGATCTGTGAGGCCCAGACTGACAACAGAGGCAGCAGCCTGTGCCAGACTCCACAACTCGTCCATGGACCAGATATTGTCAGCTCACCATTCCTCGGCTTCCCCACTCCAGACATCATGAGCCAAGACAATTTAAAAAACATCAGAAACAAAACAAATCCAAAAATAACCTAGGTGGGTCACAGACAGAGTTAGTTTTAAATGTTTTATTTTGGAATGTTCAAGGAATAGGAAATAAAATTGATGTTATAGAGCATTTTGTCCATACTAATGATGTAAATGTATTATGTATAGCAGAACACTGGTTAAATAAGGTTGAAATGAAAATGTTAAATATAAATCATTTTAGTCACATTAATTCTTTCTGTAGATCTAATATGTCAAAAGGAGGCTGTGCAATTTTTACTAAGTATATAGATAATGTTAAAACTTTAGAAAATGTAAATAAGTTATCATCTGAACATGTTTGTGAAATATCCACTGCATATTTTTTATCACAAAAGTTGGTTTGTATTTGTATTTACAGACCAAACAAAAAATATCTTAAGGAATTTTTAAATATTTTGTTTGAGTGTTTAATGTTAGTAAATAAGCTTAATGTTGATATTATTCTATGTGGTGATTTTAATGTGGATTTCCTTGATATTGACTGTAATCAACGAAAAGAAGTAACTAATACATTTAATGCTTTTAATCTACATTTGGTTACATTAGAAATCACTAGGCCTAATATGAGAAAAGGTAAAATTGTCAAACTTGGAACTTGTATTGATAACATTGCAACCAACATTCACAGAGATAACAGGACTGGTTGTGTTGTTCCCACCCTTGTATCAGATCACTATGCAATTATGTTATCTACTAGATTACATTCCAGGTGTATGAATGGGCAAAATAGTTTTAAGATCTCACGGCCCATTAATAAAATGAGTGGTGTTTTATTATGTTCAAATTTAAGTAAAGTAAATTGGCTTAGTGTTTATTCATTAGAAAC